GCTAGACAGCGAAGTTGGGAATGTTTTGCCTGGAAAACTAAAGAAAGAATATGAGAATGTGTGTGTGTGTGTGTGTGTGTGCGCGCGCGCGCGTGTCTGTGTGTGTAATGTCTTGCTCTAGAGAAAAGAACTAAAATCTATAGGCAGAAGTTAGAAGCAAATATGAAACCAATAATAAGGAAGTGCTTTCCATTGACGCCAACTGTCTGACAATAGATTGGGTTCCTGCATGAAGCAGTAAACCAAGGCTTAATGTCACCCATCAAATATTTAGAAATTTATGTTTCAGATAGGAAGATGGACTCATATGATACTCTTTAAGATCCCTTTCAAACTTACGGTCCTAAGAAAAGCTGTCATCTGGGAGAAGATACATACATTTGAAATTATTTTAAAAAATTAGAGAGTCATACATTCTCCATTGAGAGAAGATCCATCACAGCTAAAGCCAAACTAGGGCCTGATTAGCTAAAGACCTCCCTCTTAGTCCTGCTTTTGCTGCATTCCATAAGTTTTGGCATGTTGTATTTTCATTTTCATTTGTCTCAGGATATTTTTTACTCCCCTTCCCACCTGCCTTTTTTGAGATGAGGTCTCACTATGTTGCCCAGACTGAACTTGAATTCCTAAGCTCAAGCAATCTTTCCTCCTTGGCCTCCCAAGTAGCCGGGATTACAGGCATGCACCACACCTGCCTCTGGTTTCCCTTTTGATTTCTTCTTTGACCCATTGGTTGTTCAGAAGTGTGTTATTTAATTTCCACGTATTTGTGAATTTTAAAATTTTTCTTCTGCTGATTTCTAGTTGCATTCCTTTGTGGTCAGAAAAGATACTTGGTATGATTTCAGTCATCCTAAAATTTTTAAGACTCATTTTGTTACCTAACACATGATCTATCCTAGAGAATCCTCCATGTGTGGTTGGAAAAAATGCGTATTTATATGTAACCATAAAAGACTCTGAATAGCCAAACCAATCTTGAGCAAGAAGAAAAAAGCTGGGGGCCTCACACTTCCTAATTTCAAAATATATTACAAAGCTACAGTAATTAAAACAGTATAGTACTGGCATAAAGACAGAAATACAGACCAATGAAACGAAATAGAAAGACCAGAAATAAACCTCCACATATATAGTCAACTGATCTGCAATAAGAGTGCCAACCATACAAAATGAGGAAAGGATAGTCTCTTCAATGAATAGTGCTGTGAAAACTGGATATTCACATGCAAAAGAATGAAACTAGACCCTTATACTATATAGAAAATCAACTCAAAATGGATTAAAGACTTAAATGAAGACTTTAAATTATAAAACTCCTAGGAAAAAATGTAGGGGAAAATCTTGATATTGGTCTTGGCAATGATTTCTTGAATATGGCATCAAAAGTACAGGCAACAAAAGCAAAAATAGACAACTGGGACTGCATTAAACTAAAAAGCTTCTGCACAGCAAAGGAAACAATCAACAGAGTGAAAAAGCAACTATGGAATTAGAGAAAAAGAATTGCAAGCCATATATGTGATAAGAGCTTAATGTCCAAAATATATAAGGAACTCCTAAAACTCAGTTGAAAAAAAAACAACAAATAACCCGATTTTAAAATGAGCAAAGGACTTGAATGGATATTTCTTCAAAAAAAGATACACAATTGGCCACTAGGTATATGAAAAAGTGCTCAACATCACTAATCACCAGGGAAATGCAAATCAAAACCAAAATGAGATAGCATCTCACACCTGTTAGTGTGGCTATTATAAAAAAAAAAAAAAGATAATGAGTGTTGGCAAGGATATAGAGAAATCAGAACTCTTGTATACTGTTAGTAGGAATGTAAATCAGTACAGCATTATGGAAATCAGTATGGAGGTTCCTCAAAAAATTAAAAATAGAACTACCATATGATCCATCAATCCCACTTCTGGGTATTTATCCAAAGGAGTTGAAATCAGGATCTTGAAGAGATATCTGCACTCCCATGTTCATTACAGCATTATTCACAATAACCAAGATAAAGAAACAACCTAAATGTCTATCAATAGAGGAATGGAAAGAAATATATACACACACACACACACACACACACACACACACACACAACAGAATATTATTCAGCCTTAAAAAAGAAGGGAATCCTGCCATATGCAACAACATGGATGGACCTGAAAGACATGATGCTAAGTAAAATAAGCCAGTCACGGAAGGATAAATACTGCATGATCCCACTCATATGAGCTATCTAAAATAGTCAAACTAATAGAAACAGAATAGAATGGTGTTGCCTGGGGCTGGGGAGTAGGGAGAAATAGCAAGTTGTTCAATGGGTGTAAAACTTCAGTAATTCAAGATGAACAAGTTCTAGAGATCTGAACAACATAGTGCCTATAGTTAATACTATTGTATTGTACACTAAAAAATTTAAGAGAGTAGATCTCAAGTGTTCTTACCAACCCCCGCCCAGCCCCCCGCCCCTGGCACACACATGGGAGCAGGGGGGAGCTTTTGGAGGTGACAGATATATTTATTACTTTGATACGGGTGTATGCATATGTTCAAGCTCATCAAATTGTATACATTAAATATGTACATCTCATTATATATTAAGTATACCTCAATAAAGCTATTTTAAAAATAAAAGTACTAAAGAAAGTTTTCTAAACTTCAGTCCTCTAGTTTATTTCCATAATAGTACCTTACATGTAGTGGCATCCACATGTTCTTTATGTGACTGATTGATGTTTGTTTCATGAATAGCTGTACTTTACACTAATAAGAAGCCCTTGGAATGAGCACAGGTCAGTGATTTGGATTTTCTTGTGTACTTTCTGTATTTGTTAATATAAGAGGCAAAGTATTCATTCTAGCTTTGTAATCTATTTTTTCTAAGCAAAGTTGTCTAATAAAGATTTCATCAGTTTTTTATTTGAACTAAATCGAAATCCAGGCCTAAGCCAATTTTTTTTTTTTTTTTTTTTTTTAAGATGGAGTCTCACTCTGTTGCCCAGGCTGGAGTGAAGTGGTGCAATCTCAGCTCACTGCAAGCTCCACCTCCTGGGTTCACGCTATTCTCCCACCTCAGCCTCCCCAGCAGCTGGGATTACAGGCGCCTGCCACCACACCCGGCTAATTTTGTTTTTGTATTTTTAGTAGAGACGGGGTTTCACCGTGTTAGCCAGGATGGTCTCGATCTCCTGACCTTGTGATCCGCCCCCCTAGGCCTCCCAAAGTGCTGGGATTACAGGCATGAGCCACCGCACCCAGCTAAGCCTATTATTATATTGACTTTCCTTCAGTCCTGAAATGATAAAACAGTAAAAATGCAGATATTGTTCACGATCAAGGAGACAAATGGTACCTATCTTTTTTCAAGTTCACAGGCTGTCTGCTTCAGCAAAATAATATACAGCATTGTGAGCCATGAAGTCTTCTTTCCTCACATTTCAGATCACTTTTTCATTACCTCTTTGCTAACTCCTCTCCTCATTTCACATTTTTATTTATAATCCACTTTATTCTAAGTATGTTATATAATTAATTCTTAGTCTCTCACTGTCTTACTTCTTTCTCGGTGTACACCTTTTTTACCTTTTGAAGTGTTATGTTAACATTTTTTAACCAACTCAATGCTAAATATCATAGACTCACAGCATCAGCTGGGAATGCTGCATCTGAAAGCTCAATCAAAAAGGAATTTGGTGACTAGAATGCTTTACCTCACTGATACCAAAACCAGAGATGGAAAAGAAAGATGGGGATTGTAAGATGAAGCTCTCTTTCTTCTCCTTCTCCCTCTTATCTTTTATTCTTTTTTCCTGCGGATTGTGTGTGTGTGTGTATCTGTGTGTGTGTGTGTGTAGGGAAAGAGAAAGAGGAGGAGAAAGAGGGAGAGGAAAAGGAAAGCAGGAGTTGAATAATATTAATAATTGCTAAAATATATACAGCTATCATTTAATTGGAAACAAAAGTACATAAGAGACATACAGGGTTGAAATAGGACAGGGATGAGTAGGTCTTTTGGATTAAGGAAACAGAGTTGAATCACAGAATCCAAGATTGCAGTATTCTAAATTAGTCCACATATATGTGTTTCTTCAGGGTTTCATTTACAGCCTACCAGTAACGCTGAGTAGCACACCCACTACATTTCCACATGAGTAAGGCTGATTTTTGGCACAGCCCCTTCTGTCTCTTCCCTCTTTCTGGTCTCCTGTTCTCTAACTTGTAGACACCCAGTATGCTCACACTGAACTCTGGCTTTCCAAAACCTTTTGGTATCTCTGTCTTTCCTTTTTCTTCTTTCCAGCCCCAAATCAATTCTTATTCCCAGATTGTGCAAGGAGGTGTTTGGCCTGGTTATCTAATTTAAATACTCAAATGATCCATTTCCGTTCAACAGGTATACTTTAAAGGATGAGGCTGTTCACTGAGCGGGCCTCCATGAGTATTTTCTGGTTCTTGGGTAAGTGACTTTTCATCAGATTCCCAAAGGAACCCACCCCCAGAACAATTAAAATACAATCATCTGACTGGGCGCGGTGGCTCACGCCTGTAATCCCACCACTTTGGGAGGCCAAGATGGGCAGATCACAAGGTCAGGAGATCGAGACCATCTTGGCCAACATGGTGTAACCCTGTCTCTAGTCTACAAAAAATTAGCTGGGTGTGGTGATGCGTGCCTGTAATCCCAGCTACTTGGGAGGCTGAGGCAGGGGAATTGCTTGAACCTAGGAGGCAGAGCTTGCAGTGAGCTGAGATCATGCCACTGCACTCCAGCCTGCTGATAGAGCAAGACTCCACCTCAAAAAAAAAGAAATCATCTAAGTGGCAAAATGCACATGGTTATTATTTTTGAACTGGTATACATATGTAGGTTCCTAGCCTAATTAGAATACCTCTCACCTAGTTAGAGGACCACTCATATACCACACCTATCAATCCAGAAATCTGATCAGTCTTACAGCTTTCTCCCATTTCTCCCCTCATGTTTGCAAACAACATACCTCATGGTAGAGTAAGGTATTGCTTGGGGAGAGTGAAAAGCAGAAGCACAGTGAGCACTGGAGGGCCCAAAAGCCATCTTGCACTAAAAAAAATAAATAAATAAAATAAAATAAATATATATATATAAAAATTTTAAAATAAAATAAATACACAATATATTAATTTTCATTAAAAAATTAAAACTACAGAAAAGTTGCAAGAATGGTACAACAATCTACCATATACCCTTTTACCTATTTTATCAATTTAACATTTTGCCACATTTGCCTTATCTATCTGTGCTAAACTACTTGAGAGTAAGTTGCATATATCAGAATTTTTTGCTTTTTTTTTTGTTACAGTCTCATTCTGTCATCCAGACTGGAGCGCAGTGGTATGATCTCAGCTCACTGCAACCTCCGCCTCCCAGGTTCAAGCGATTCTCCCACCTCAGCCTCCAGAATAGCTAGGATTACAAGCGAGTGCCACCACACTCGGGTAATTTTTGTATTTTTAGTAGAGACAGGGTTTTGCCATGTTGGCCAGGCTGATCTTGAACTCCTGACCTCAAGTGATATGCCCATCTCGGCCTAAGTGTTGGGATTACAGGTGTGAGCCACCACGCCTGGCCAAAAATTTCATACCTAACTAGTTTAGTGTGTATCTCTTAACAAGGGATACTCTCTCTTATAATCACAGTACAATTATAAAATTCAAGAAGTTTAACACTGAAAGAGTATCTTATCTAATATGTAATCCATATTCAAATTTCAGTAGTTGTTCTGATACATTCCTTTATAGCATGTTCTTCCAAGATCACATGTTGCCTTTAGTGCCATGCCTTTCTAAATCCCTTAAATCTAGAATGGTTCCTCAGTCTTTCTTTGACTTTCATGACACTGATGTTTTTTAAGGATACAGGTCAGTTGTTGGGTAGAATGTTTCTTAGTTTGCATCTTTCTGATTGTTTCTAGATCATAATATGCATTTTTGACAGGAATACTACATAAGAGATATTGTAACCTCAGTGGCTCACGTCAGGAGGCTCATCATGTCATTTTATCACATAATTGGTGACATTAACTTTGATCATTTGGTTAGGGTAATGTCTGTCAGATTCCTCCACTGTAGAGGTACCTCTGTTAACCCTTTATCATGAATAAGAAATCCAAAGACTGTGCAAATATCTTGTTCCCCAGCCAAATTTTACTCAATGATTTAAACATCTATTCATAATTCTTGTCTGAATCCATTATTACTGTAATGGCTGCCAAATGATTTGCTAATTGTCATTTCTTCTAACATATATTAGTTGGCATTCCACCGTCATTTCACTTCTCCCCCCTTTATTTTTCTATTTAAAAGTTTAAAAGTAAGTATGCTCTACGATTCTTTTACAAAATTCAATGTATTAGAATCAATTTCTGTCATTATTTATTCATTTATTGAGACAGAGTCTCGCTCTGTCACCCAGGCTGGAGGGCAGTGGCACGATCTTGGCTCACCGCAACCTCTACATCCCGGGTTCAAACAATTCTCCCTGCCTCAGCCTCCCGAGTAGCTGGGATTATAGGCACCCACTACCACGCCCGGCTATTTTTGCATTTTTAGTAGAGATGGGATTTCACCATGTTGGCCAGGCTAGTCTTGAACTCCTGACCTCAGGTGATCCGCCCACCTCGGCCTCCCAAAGTGCTGGGATTACAGGCGTGAGCCATTAAGCCCGGCCCATTATTTATTCTTGATACCCAAATTGTCTCAGATTTGGTAAGGCGGGAGCACCTTGGAGCGATCTTTCTTTTGACGTATCTTCCTTGACCTAGCCAAGAAATCTCCTTGCTTTAAGGCACAGGATCTTTCAAGGGCATTTTATACCTTCCCTGTCTCTGCCCTCGAATGAGCCATCTCGCCACGGAGTCTGGCTCCTTTAGGTGGAGAATGATATTTAGAAACCAAGATATGAAGGCACATGATACATTTCAGAATATTCAAGTGTCACTGTCCCTATTTTCTTCAGTCACATTTGCAAGCGTGGTGTGATTTATAATCCTACCTCTACCATTGCCTGTGTGACCTTGGCAATTCCCTTTATTCCTTGCGGTCTGCTTCGTCCTTTGGGGGAAAAAATTGGATTAGAGAAATATTTTTAACCGTTTTCAGGGTCACCAACACGTTTGGGAATCTGACAGAAGCTACGGGTCCATTTCTCCAGAGACATGCTCACATAAGCAAAAACTGGCCTGTGTTTTAGGGGGTTCCGGACTCCGAAGTTCGCATGAGGCTCCAAATCTCTGGATTAAGTGATCTCCAAGATCTCTTCAGCGCTGACATTGACATTCTGTGAGTCTATCAGCGACCGCACTGCTGTCAGAATGACTCCTCGGAGACATCAAAACGTGGAGGGTTTTGTTATATATAGCAACGAGAAGAGAAAAAAACACAAAGAAAGGAGCCTGTGAGCAACGCATTGCTCAGCCACAGTTCTTTGCTGGTGCCAAATTTAGGGCGCGCTGTACTTGTAGGTGAGAGGTTTTGGCGGGAAGGACCCCGGGTGGGCGGAGAACGCCGGGGCGGGGAAGGAGATCGCAGGCCGCATCCAGGTCTCTGCACCCCTACGCACGGTCCGCCAGGGCTCGCTCTTGCCCTTCGCCTGGAAGGCCGAGGACCGTAGCGGGCCGAGCGGCGACCCCGCCCCTGGCAGCGGCGAGGCGGAGGGGCGAGGGGAGGGCGTCTGAGCCCGGAAGGAGCGCGCCGGCCAGGCCCGCGCCCCTCCCCGCGCGCCGTCCCCCACTCTCCAGCAGCCGACGTCGGCGGTGCTTCGGTCGCCATGGTGACCAATCCAGGCCCGGGCCCGCCCCCGCCCCCCTGCCCCGGCCCCCTGACGTCGGCGCACGTCAGCGGCGGCGCGCGCCTGGCTGGGCCCTGCGGAGCGGGAGGGAAGGAGCGAAGGAGCAAGCTGAGCGGCCGTCGCCCAAGCCAAGCCGCGCTGCCAGCGCTCCCGCTCGCCCGCCCGCGCTCCTGTCCGCCGTGTCTAGCAGCGGGGCCCAGCATGGTCATGGCGGATGGCCCGAGGCACTTGCAGCGCGGGCCGGTCCGGGTGGGGTTCTACGACATCGAGGGCACGCTGGGCAAGGGCAACTTCGCCGTGGTGAAGCTGGGGCGGCACCGGATCACCAAGACGGAGGTGCGGCCCGGGGCTCGGCGGGAGCGTCCGAGGCGAGGGTTCGGGAGAGGAGCTGCTTACCGAGAGGGGCGGCCGCAGTGGTGGGACTGGGGAGACCCGAGAGGCCGCCTCACTGGCGGAGGCGAGCGGGCCTGGGACTGTGAGGACCCAGGAGGTGCAGGGGGTCGGTGAGCAGCGAAGGGATCGGGCCCGGGCACCCGGAGCCGAGTGTCGTCCGACTGGAAACGCAACCAGCCGGGGCTTAGCTTTCCCCTACGCCACCCGCGGTGGCCACCCGGAATTTCGCCCAGAGCCCCCCACCCGAGCCGTGACCTGGTCTGTGGCCTCCGCTCCGGAGCCCAAGTTCCGCGTCTTCCCTGCTTTCGGCTGGGGGTGGGGTGGGAGGGGAAGTCTCGGTGTTCCCAGGCTGCGCCGTGAGAGACGTCGCCGGCCCGAGGAGGGGACCGCCTGCGCTTGGGCTCCGCGGATGGGGGATCGTGCGGCCCCCGTGACCCCGGTGCCCCTCCCCTACCCGACGAGGAGGGGCCCGGTGGCTGGGAATGCCCCCACAGCCACTGACCATCTCTTTCCTTCCTTTTGGCCCACGGTGTCTCTGATTTGGTGTCTGGCTAGCTTGATCCCTTGCCTGGGGCATTTCCATTTAATGCTCCAGACAATAGAACTGGTTAAAATGGTCATCTCTGCACTTGCACAGTGGGTGGGTTGGACAGAAGTCTAGGGTTGTCCCTGTACCAGGTGTGTATTCTGGCTGTAATACGCATTCTTTAAACCATATTAGATTCTGCCTCTACTCATAAAGCCCTCAACTGCTTCCTGACGGTGAATCCTGCACCCTCTTCATTGCACATTCTAATACACCGCACATATTCTCTCACAAGTCTCTGTTCTTACCTAACCCGCCCCCCTTCCTTCCACTGCCTCAAGCTGCTCTCCTCAGGGTCTCTATTTTAAGACGTGCAAATTAAATACCTTAGAAGAACGGTAGAAACAAAACCATTCTTTAGAATAAAACCTAGTGGTTTTGACGTACTCTACTCTGCCTTATTGTAGTTCCTCCTGGAGTTTCATCCTTTTCCTGTTTGTTTGCCCTCCAGTTTTGGTCCTATTCTGCTTTTTCCCTTGTTAGTACGAATGTACTAGAGTTTGAATGTAGAATAAAGTAGGACTTCTTTTCAGAATGACTTATGTAAGACGAAGGGCACTGGCAAACCTGAGTGATTTTTGGAGTTGCAGTTGTACTTAGAAGTTTTGCTTAATCCCATTTCCAAAAGGAAGGGGTATATGTCATTTTGTCGTCTTTACTTTTTTCCTTCCCCTGCTGGTCCTGAAGCAGTCCAAATCTTTTAGAATCAGGACCAAGGTCAGATATTTTATTCTCACAGATTTACCAGTTAGCAATTTAAATTGTAATGATAATGGTAACTTGACTATAGTGATATTGCTAAATCTTTGCATAGTTTAATCTGATCCCAGCATTTTTTAAAATGAAGAAATTGGTTCCATTCCTCTGAAGAGCCATGGCCTAATGCCATGCCATTTCCCTTAAAGTTACATAAAAGAAGGCATTTTAAATGCATGTTTTATGAGTCCTTGCTTAATGACTTTCTAAAAACAAACACATTGTGAGTTATAGAGAGGTTCTGCAAAACTTTTGAACTATAGTATATCGTGCGGGTTGAATTCCAAATCCATCAGTTCATAATATTTTTTTCTCAGCTCTTACTGGGATTAGTAGCAAGATTTAATTAAGTCATCTATTATTTATCAGGTCAGATTTAGTTAATACAGTAAGAGCTGCTTAAGTGGAGTGACTGACACTTTCTCTTGAGGTTGACAATTCAAATGGTGTCCGTTTTAAACTGATATATCTTAAAGAGCTAGGGGGCACTATGGAGTAATATCGTGGTTTGGCTATCAGAGTGAGATCAATGCATTCATTTGTAATTGAAGCAAGCACTGGTCAGATCGTGAAAGAGGATCAATCCTAAATCGTGTGTGTAGTATATATGTGTAGAATTATTTACGTTAAATGCTAAATGTTTAGTCCACAGAACCCATTTCCCTGTGCTTTTCTAAAGAAGCTGTTATTAACATATAAAAAGAAATAGTGTGAGTGTGAATTTGAGATGGGTGAGTGTGAGTATCTGTGGAGATTTGGTGGGTGTGATTGGAGATATTAAGGTAGAGAGGGATACGTGAAATGTCAAAGCAATCGTTGAACAGAAGAGTTCTCTAGATCTCTAGCTTGTAAAGTTGCTCTGATTTTTTTTTTTTTTTTTTTTTTTTTTTTTTTTTTTTTTTTTGAGACAGAGTCTTGCTCTTGTAGCCCAGGCTGGCTGGAGTGCAATGGTGCGATCTCGGCTCACTGCAACCTCTGCCTCCCGGGTTCAAGCGATTCTCCTGCCTCAGCCTCCCAAGTAGCTGGGATTACAGGCGCTCACCACCATGCCCGGCTAATTTGTGTCTTTTTAGTAGAGACGGGGTTTCACAGTGTTGGCCAGGCTGGTTTCGAACTCCTGACAAGTGATCCATGGCCTCGGCCTCCCAAAGTGCTGGTATTACAGGCGGGAGCCACCGTGCCTGGCCCAATTGTTTCTTAAAGTATTCCATGGGAGTAACAATTCCATTGTTAATGAAGTTTTTTTACAGCAGTTATTTATCCTTATTCGAATTCACTGGAGAAATGTTTGTGTGTTTTTGATAAATACAACTACCTTAAAAACTATAAGATGTTTAGTAAAAACTTTTGTTTTAAATTGAGTTTTCATTGCAGAATATACTACGGTAGTTATAGTGGAACAATGAATATGGTATAAAAATAATATCAGCAAAATATCCCAATTATTGACGATAAAAGTTTCTTCAAATACTGTGCTTTAACATAGATACAAGTTTGTGTGTTTTAAAACTTAGAGGTTCTTTTTCCCAAGTTTGACCCTAAGGCAAATTTTAGGACTTAATCATCTATGTAATGAGCAATTGGACCCTTTTATTTTTAACTGGTTCTTCTCTGTTTCTTGTTCTATATCACTCACAAATGATGTATTTCTACAGAACTTGGGAGATTCAAGTCTGTTTCCCTTTTAGGAAAAAAAATAGTAGACAAAGGAGATCTTCATTTTGGTCGAATCTATCAAACAGTTTAACATTGTTTATGAGATATAATTACATCATCATCTGAAGTGGTATTGTGTTTGATCTCTATGTGAATTTTGCACCCAAAGGGGAAGACAGGTGAGGGTAGAATCCAGCTTCCTAATACACTTTGTAAAGGCTTTGTAGTATTCGTTTGTGGTTTACGAATTAGAGATGCTAATTTTATAAAATTAGCATAATGGGAAAAAAATAATAGCATGTAAGCTGTTAAACTTTGAAGCAGTAGTGGTTGCTTGTTTGCTCTTCACTGAGTGTCCTTGAGTAGTTTATTTTATCAATACTGTACAGTACTAGGAAATAACTTTTTCCTTCTAGTTAATGGTGTAGCTAGTTTTTTGTCTCTTAAGTAAAATTCTAGAAAAGCCAATTGTATCCTTAAATGTTTTTGTATTTTGTTTAGGAAATAGTTTCTTTCTTGTTGCTCCCAGGACAAAAGAAAGAAAAATAAAGAAGTAGTGTCTTACTGTAATATAAAAAATAAAGAAGAGTATAGTGAACAAAAAAGTATACATATAATTCCTCCACCAGTGGGAATAACCCATTCTTAACATTATGGCACTAGTCTTTTTATTTAAATGCATTTTTTCCATAGATGAGAGCACATGGTACATGTGTATAAATTATGTTGTTTTTTCTACTTAATATTATAACCTAGGCATTTTGCTTAATATATATAACTTTATAAAAACATTTTTGTTAGCTGCATGGTGTTCTACCTTGTGGATGAATATCATTTTACCTAACAATTCCCTTATTAATGAATATTATGTAATTTTCAGTTTTTGTTTATAGTAAATAATTTGCAGTGAATATTTTTGTGTCTATAACTGAGTGTGCATTTTACATTTTTTTTAGGGAGGAGGCATTGCTGGTAAAGTCCTAAAAGGAAATTTCCTAAGTAACAAGGTATTATTTTTACATTAAAGAGTAGTGTATTTTTATTACCAAATCTGTCATGTTTATTATTGAAAAATTTAAAAGTATAAATAGGAGGCCAGGCTAGATGGCTGACACCTGTAATCCCAGCACAGTGGGAGTCCAACGCAGATGGGTTGCTTGAGGCCAGGAGTTCGAGACCAGCCTGGTCAATATAGCAAGACTCTGTCTCATTAAAAAAAACAAAAACAAAAAAACTATAAATAAATGAAAAGAATTCCCCATAAAATCACAGCCCCGGAGATAACCATAACTCGTTATTTTCAGACCTTTTCTATAATAGATAACTTGAGTTTTCAACACCATATGTCTCATATTGCTTAGCTAAAGAGCGTGTAAATGTATGGTCTGTGGAATCATAAAGATATTTCAAAGAGGTTCTAAAAATGACCTTATTAAAATGGCATGTGGGTGTCAGGCTGCTTATTTACCCTTAAGAGAACTTGGAATGCAAAACTGATAACAAGGACATTCTGAAAACTGTATTTGTTTGCTAAAAAGCCTTCCATGTGCATTTTGGGGATTTTATAGTTAGGTCTAATTCTTTACTACCTTAAAATGTAAGATTTTTAAAAGGTTTTCAAAATTGTTAAGGTATTAAAATTGCATTTTTATAGCAAAGTTAGAAACAAGAAAAAGGCATATTACACCCTGATTATGATGTTTCTTGAAGAGAACTCATTTTAAAAATACATTTGAATTTTCTATTTTGCTTTAAAATTTTAAGACTCCTTACAGTAGTCTTGGTATTAATCTTGTGCTGTGAAATATTCCAAAATTTCAAGAACTGTACTATGTGCAACAGAAGGACTTGTTACCAAATGACTCAATCACTAATATTTGTATCTAGTCTTATGTATGATCTTTAATTATGTATTGAAATAAAAATTATATGTGTCTTGGAATATATATGCTTTCATAGAATTTTTCTCTAGTCTTTTTGCACCCCGGACAAATAGTATTTGTCAAATTATTCTGCTAACTGTTGTTCAAAATGATCTGCTCTTTTTTGGGAGTGGGAACAAACATGCAAAATAAGAGTTGTGTAAATGTTTATATTCTGTAGAAATTTTAACTTTAACAGAGTTTAATGTGTTCTGATTTTAAACCCTCTGGGAAATACTATCTCAGTACCAGTCAATTAAGAAAACAATTATTTGGAAATAACTGAAACTAGCCTATCTTCTTGGATTCACATGATGACATCTGATTTATGACCCACTGCTGATAGCAGATTCATTTCCTTGGAGGCAAATGCATTCCAGAATTCATTAGAATATCATTCTTTCCACTTTCGTGTACCTAGTACCTCTTCTACCTTCCACCTCCATCTTTTCAAAATAAATTATATAAAACTTCCTTTATTCAGAACATTGGTGTAGAATACTTTCCCATCTTTCACAGAGAAATAGCCTATATATCCATTTTGAGATATTAGAAGATCAAAAGATAAACTTGGAAATTCCATCAGAAACTTCATTTAAAATTTTTTTTAAATACTTTAAACAGATTAAGAGATGAATATTGGATGAATTAAACTGAGAAACAATACTAAAATTTATTTTAAGTTCTCCTTGAAAGTAAACATAGTATTTATATGGTTTCCCCCAGTTATAGAAGTCAATGCATCTTCATTGTAAACATTGTTGAAAAGCCCAAAGAAGAAAATTAACATCCTTACTTCTACTCTCCAGACCCAGAGATAATATCTGTTAATATTTGGTTCATCTTCTTCTAGTTATTCACATATATTTTATATGTATGTAATAAAATTGATGTCATGTATACATATAATCTGTGTTTTTTACTTAACGTGTTGTTAACATTTCCCTAACTTTGAAAACTATGTAAAGCATGGTTAAATAGTATTTGTGTATTTTTGACTATCCATATTTTATTTAATCAATTTCCTATTACTGAACATTTAGTCTATTTCTCTCTTGCTGTCTCTCTTTCTAAAATAATTTTTCAGAGAGCATCCCTCTACATACATCTTTGTGCATGTATCTGATTATTTCCTCAGTGTAATTGCATAGCAATGGAATTCTTGGGTCAAGGAGTATGTACATTACCTATCTTATGACGTAGGATGCCAAATTACCCTCCAGAAAAGGAGTGCCCGTTAATTTTCACCAGCAAGAACTCATATTTTGCAGGAACACTATTTTCTAAATCTCTGCCAGCTTGATAGCAGAAAGTAATATTCTTTGCTTCTTTTAAATTTTTTCTATTTTTATTTTTTAACTGACAAATAAATGTTTATATTTTCTGTTACTTCAATTGGCATTTCTTTGATTACTTTGTACAGTTTTATATGATGATTGCATTCCTTTTATAAATTTTTTTTGTCCTTTGACCCATTTAATTGCATTGTCTTTTTTGTTGATTTGTTTAAATACTTTTTAAGATAGGGGATTATTTTTAATCACTTCTTTTATCATCTTAAAAATTCTCAGTTTAATTTTTGCAGGTATATAACTATCAGACCATTTACCTTTCTCCCAATCTGTTTTTCTTACCCACTATTGCAAAAGTCAAATCAATTTTTTGGGGGAGGTGGGGACAGGGTCTCACTCTGTCGCCCAGACTGGAGTACAGTGGCAAGATTACAGCTCACTGCAGCCTCCACGTCCCAGGCACAAGTGATCCTCCCACCTCAGCCTTCCAAGTAGCTGGGACTGTGGGTGCACACCCCCACGCCTGGCTAATTTTAAAATTTTTTTGTAAAGACAAGGTTTTGCCATGTTGCCCAAGCTGGTCTAGAACTCCTTGGCTCAAACAGCCCTCCCCACCTTGGCCTCCCAAAGTGCTGGGATTACAGACATAAGCCACCATACCCAGCCATCAAATTAAATCCTAATGAGAATGTATTATTTGAATAATTTTAAAAGCCAAATTTACATTGGAAAAAAAGTCTGCTTTTTATTCATTCTGAGAGGGTAGCTAGATAATTCTCTGTTTTACTACTCACTTTTACTGCTTTCAGAAATTATTTCATTATAGACCACTCAATCACACTTGCTTTTCAATCGGATGATAGGCTAGTAGGTTGTAATTCTACCAATGATTTGTTATATAAGCTGAAAGGTGTATTTATTTTTTAATTTCAGAAGTCTAATGTATGGTATGATAGAGCTAATGCTACTTGGTACTTCAGAAGGACAGTGTAGAATTAGTATATTAGTAATAGGACTGGAGTAAATATTATCTAAGACAAGAAACACATGTTAATCCCTTCTTATTTGTTATTAGAAGAATAGCTCTTATTGTGTAACTTCTTTATAAAATCTCCAAAAGCTACTTTTTTTGGCTTTCATCTGTGGATTTATAGAATCAAAAAGCAACTTTTGTTTGTGTGGTTTCTTTAAATGAGATTAATATTTCTTTTATGAGAAGTTGTTTTTCTAAAATCAAAAAGGATAGGCCAAGCATGGTAGCTCACGCCTGTAATCCCAGCACTTTGGGGGGCCAAGGCAGGTGGATCGCTTGAGACCAGCGTGGCCGACACGGTGAAACCCCATCTCTACCAAAAATACAAAAATTATCCTGGCATGGTGGTGCACGCCTGTAATCCCAGCTACTTGGGAGGCTGAGGCAGGAGAATCACTTGAACCTGGGAGGCAGAGGTTGTACTGAACTGAGATCGCACCACTGCACTCCAGCAGTGAGAGAGCCAGGCTCTGTCTAAAAAAAAAGAAAAATACCAAAAACAGGGATAACAGTTTGAAAAATGAAAAAATTCCATTTATTCATCAGTTTAACACTTTTTACATTTCTGCTCTTACATTTAATTCCTTGTCCTCCTGTATAAAATCTGTATTTGACAGTTGTTACTTTCATATGTATTTTTAAAAATTTCACAGTTAGAAACATTTCTGTATATGTCTTAATATTTAAATCACAAAATAGCCATTTTCTAAATTTTGAAAATGAGAAAATGAAAACTAATATTTCTCAGATGGAGAATCAGTATATGTGATAAATAACTATGTCATTGTTGTGGGTTTTTTCTTATTAGAAAAGTAATACATGTTCACTGAAGAAAAATTGCACAGAAGAGTACAAAGCAGTTTATCGCCATCTTTTTCTACTCATACCTTATGCTGAGACTGCACTGATATCTCAGTTTTCTAATACTCTATTGATTATATGTACACATAAGGCTGGGTGAGGTGGCTCACACCAGTAATCCCACACTTTTGGGAGGCCAAGGCAGGAGGATTACTTGAGCCTAGGAATTTAAGACCAGTCTGGGCAACATGGTGAAACCCACTCTTTCTTGACCAAATGTGTATATTTATATATATGTATACACACACACACGCGCACACACACACACACACAAATTAGCACAGTGTGGTGGTGCACACCTGTAGTCCTAGCTTCTTGGGAGGCTGAGGTGGCAGGATCATTTGAGCCTGGAAGGCAGAGGTTGCAGTGAGCTGAGATCACACCACTGCATTCCAGCCCAGGCAACAGAGTGAGACCCTGTCTCAAAAAAAAAAAAAAAAAGTGAACATAAATCTTTGTCATCATTTCAGATTATTTCCCTCAAATAACTTCTCAGAAGAAGAGTCCTTAAGCTACATGGAATGGATGATTTTTAAGGTTCATAATAAAGACTACTAAATTCCTCCCCAGAAAAATTATAATCTATTTTATATTCCTACTAACAATATCTAAAACAAACATCTCATTGAACCTTAGCTGACCAGGTTATTTATTTTTTAATCTTTATAAACATAATAAGTAAAAATGGTATTTTGTTTTTAATTCATATTTCCCTGAGTATTTTGAAGTTGAATATTCAGTGTTGCTACTTTATGTGGGATTTAGTTTGATAATAATCATTCTAGTTTGTCCTAATGTTCTTCAGTTTATAGAGGAGACCTTTCTTCAGTCCTTTAGTAGAAGGAATATTCATTTTTCTGTCATATAAATTTATTGAAGGTTTTTTTAAGATGATGTATATATAATAATTAGAGAGTTGAATAGATGAACACCACCAAAAAAGGGGATCTTCCCATTCATAGAGTTCCTTTCTTGACTTACTTTCTTGTTACCATGCAGATTTTGTCCCTTATACCATGTTCAGAACTAAATAAGAGAAGGGATATAGAGAGGAAGTTCCCACAAATCTAAGTTCATTCTAATCCTTAAAAGGAACTATTGGGACACAACCCTTTTGCAAATTAAGGACTTTCAGTGCACCTTTGGGGAAATCCCCAAATACAAATTTGTTGTTGATAAAATGTGTTCATCTTCTTCTTACAGACCTATTAAATTCCTTGAGGGTAGGAATGAAACCCCATTCATTTTTATATCCCAGGCATAATTCCTGGCACACAACAGACGCTGTGTAATGTATTACTACTAGACCCTTTGAAATAGTGGAAAGATTAAAGTTGGAGTTAGAAGGCCTAGGGTTTTTCTTCCTTAATTCATTAGAGCTTTAAGACCTTTGTTGATTATGTGACATTATTTGAACCTCAGTTTCATCAACTCATGAGTATACCTCTTGTTTCATTTACTTCACAGAATTGGGAAATAAATGAGATAGAATATGCTACAAGTATCTTAAAAAGTGCTATGCAGTTGTGAAAGTCATCACCAGTGTTAGTATTATACATATTTCTGGGAAGTACTTGATAGAGAGCTCCATTGTTAAGAAATTACTTTGATGAGTTTGGCAGACTGCTAGCTGATCTCTGAAAACTCTACTGTTTCCTCTTCTTTCTGGGCCTACAGCTGGACTGTTTCTATGCTGCCCTTGCATTTAGGTGTGGTCATATGCCGAGTTCTAACTAATAGAATGAACAGAAATAATAGGCACCACTTCCAGGCCCAGCCCATAAAATCACCTGTGAGGATCCCTCAAAGTTCTTTTTTCCTTCTGTCTAGCTGGAATGGAGACCACCTTCAGGTTAACCTTGGAAGCCACACATTAAAGATATTAAAGCCTCTTTGAATCTCAAATACCTGCCAACTTCATTCGTCTAGTTCTGCTACATGAGCAAGAAATAAACTTCTGTTGAGTTTGAATCATATGTTTTGGGTTGTATTTGGTAAAGCAATTAGACTTCCCGTGTTACAAGGAACATGTTAACTCATGCTCTGCTTTTTCTTTAGAGAAGCATAGTCCTCTTATAATAGCTCTAATAGCCTTAGAAACAAAGGATAGCAATGGGATAAGTATATATATATATATTTATGATCATAGATGGATAAAGTCTGTGACCCAAGATAAAATTGAAGTGAGAATTATATCATTTGAGTAATTTTGTTAAGAAAAGTTAAATGAGATTTATAATTTTTTATTGAAGTTTAATTAGGTAACATTTTTAACTTTTTAATATATGTCATATATTTTTCACTTTTTCATTGTTGAGGCCAAGGTTCCAAAAGGGTATAAAAAAGGAGATTTCTCTGGGTAATACATTGCTTTAATTGATATTTAAGTATCTAAACTCTTTCATCCCATTAAATATGATACTTAAGATATTTACAGTATAAAATTGTCTCATGATAGGAATCATGCTGAGGTTTTAAAAACCATAATCCCTTCTCTCCATCTTTTTCTATTAGATGATTGTGACCCATCTCATTATAAAAGCTTTTTGTTGGGGGCAGGGGGTGCTGATATCTAGACTCACTCCTGAAATTGTAGGATAAGACATTTTCTTCAAAATATGCACGTCTGTGAAACTTGATGTGATCTTCCTAAGGAATATTGAGGATATTCAGTTATACACTTATCTTTTTATCTGGCAACTGTTACCCAAAGTTACCCAAAATATAATGGATTGTATCATACTCTTCATTGAGGAGAGTTTCTTTAAATGTATTTAGGTTTGAGGTGGTCCAATAATATTTCTAATAGCAAGTATATAATATTAATCATTCTACTTGCCTAGCAAAGTTTTACTATCTAGAATATTTTCATTATGGTAATAATCAAAACACCGCCAAACATAATGAAAACAGCTATCACAGAACCTACGTACTTTACTCCCTAGAGAAGAAGCTTTCATTCTTAGGCAATAAATTTCATTTTATACATTATGTTTAGTAATCGGATTTCCCCTGGGAAGCTTGGAGCGTTCTACAATTAATTTAAATCAGGAAACAACCTGTGGACGCAAGTTAGAAGTAGAGAAAGGTGAGAAATAAAATTTACAGTAGAGCTTTAGGACATAACAGCAAAGGATAGAGCAGCCACAAAGAAAGAAGAAAAAAACTGACTCTCCCCCCTAATTTTTTTTTTTTTTCGAGATGGAGTCTCACTCTGTCACCCAGACTGGAGTGCAATGGCACGATCTTGGCTCACTGCAATCTCCACCTCCTGGGTTCAAGTGATTCTCCTGCCTCAGCCTCCCAGGTTGCTGGGATTACAGGCGCCTGCCACCAGGCCTGGCTCATTTTTATGTTTTTAGTAGAGACAGGGTTTTACCATGTTGGCCAGGCTGGTCTGAAACTGCTGACCTCAAATGATCAGCCTGCCTCGGCCTCCCAAGTGCTGGGATTACAGACATGAGCCATAGCGCCTAGCCTGATTCCCCCAAAATTTAACTACTAATAGCGTACTGTTGACTGGAAGCCTTACCAATAACAGAAACAGTCCATTAACACATATTTTGTATGTTGCATGTGTTATATACTTTATTCTTACAATAAAGTAAGCTAGGGAAAAGAAAATGTTAAGAAAATCACAAGGAAAACACATTTATTACTCATTAAGTGAAGTGGATCATCATAAAGGTCTCCATCATTATCTTCATGTTGAATAGGCTGAGGAGGAGGAGGACGAAGAGAAGTTAGTGGTGGAAGAAAATTTGTGTATCAGTGAACCCACACAGTTTAAACCCATGTTGTTCAGAGTTAACTGTAATTGTATGAACAGGAGACTGTGGGAATTATGTGAAATGGCAAGCTGAATCCTATTTTATTGGATACATTTTGGAAGCATTGAGCTATCATAGCATGTGCAATTGCTGATACTAAAAGTTATCCTCAGCTGGGCACAGTGGCTCATGCCTGAAATCCCAACACTTTTAAGGTGGGCAGATCACCTGAAGTGAGGAGTTTGAGACCAACCTGGCCAAACATGGTGAAACCCCATCTCTACTAAAAATACAAAAATTAGCCAGGCATGGTGGCACACACCTGTAATCCCAGCTACTCGGGAGGTTGAGGCAGGAGAATCACTTGAACCCAGGAGGCAGAGGTTGCAGTTAGCCAAGATCATGCCACTGCACTCTAGCCTGGGCCACAGAACGAAACTCCGTATCAAAAAATAAATAAATAAATAAAAGTTTTCCTGAGGCCAGGCATGGTGGCTCACGCCTGTAATCCCAGCACTTTGGGAGGCCAAGAAGGGAGGATTGCTTGAGGCCAGAAGTTCAAGACCAGCCTGGTCAACATACAGATGGTCAACCAACCATCTGTATTAAAAAAAAGAAGCAGCAGGAAAGTTACCCCAAAACAATAACATAAGGCTAAATTATGTTTAGAATACCCTTTGATATAATTTGAAGTACATTTTAGAGTTTTTTCAAAACTTAAATTTGGGTGATTCTCAATTATCTGAAAAATTTATTTAAATCATAATGCTTTATTTTCTAACCAAATATCTACTAATTTTAATAAATTAGTTCTTTTTAATTGCGTGAAAAAAATGTGCGTAATCACCGGGCGTGGTGGCTCACGCCTGTAATCCCAGCACTTTGGGAGGCCGAGGCGGGTGGATCACGAGGTCAGGAGATTGAGACCATCCTGGCTAACACGATGAAACCCCGTCTCTACTGAAAATACAAAAATTAGCCGGGCGTGGTGGTGGGCGCCTGTAGTCCCAGCTACTCGGGAGGCTGAGGCAGGAGAATGGCGTGAACCCAGGAGGCAGAGTTTGCAGTGAGCTGAGATTGTGCCACTGCACTCCAGCCTGGGTGACAGAGCGAGACTCCGTCTCAAAAAAAAAAAAAAAAAAAAAAGTGTGTAATCGTTGATTTCTGTCTACCTAGTCATTCACCTTCAAATGTAATCCCTTCAAATTATTAACCTTGGAATTGTCTGGGCTCCTCTCTAGTTATAACAGAATGAGGTCACAGTTTCTGAAATAAAATTCCTTTTACAAAGTTAAATTTTAGTGCAGTTACTAACATTTTAGTTTTTGCCCTTCGAATTTTAAAAGAAAATCCAATTGGTATTTTTTCATGGAATGAGTTTTAATGTTTTATATTTAGCTTTTTGTCTGTATTCTTTGAAACTGATCACTTGCTTTTCCAGGAAAATAGTATTTCAGTGCAACAGAAACTGTCTTCTGAACTGTCTTCTACTTTGCTGATCATTTGTTTATAGTTACTTTACAGTGGGATGATAACTAGTTGACATAGCTACTAATTTAATCAAATAAAGATTTTATTTTTCAGTTTGTACAGGAGTAAAAAGACATTACCATTGTACTGAAAGAGAAACATGTTTTCGAGTTATTCTTCATAGCACACTAAAGACACAGCCAAACAACATCTACTGCCTTACACATGGTATTAGTTTAAGAAATATTTGTTGAATGAATGAACGTTGAATTTAAACTAGCTATCATCAGTGTCACGAACCTACAGGTGAAGTCTCATGTCATTTATTGACAGGATTATTAACTAGAAAATATTAACTATTGTATACTAATTGTATTTATTTGTGTTCTGGGATGCAGGTGGCAATAAAAATAATCGATAAGTCTCAGCTGGATGCAGTGAACCTTGAGAAAATCTACCGAGAAGTACAAATAATGAAAATGTTAGACCACCCTCACATAATCAAACTTTATCAGGTATGACTCAGCCTGACACTATCTCCATTCATTCCACAAAATAGTTCTCTACTTCGTATCATGATTTTTCTTCTTATATTTGTGTTTCTAATCAATGAAAGAAAGTAAATATATGCTTTTTGTAACTAAGCACATCCATTTTTTTATATTGTCTTTAAACTTAAAAATCAGAAATCTTAAGTCATCTCTCAGACTACAAGTTGTTTTAAAAGTTTGCAGTGTTGGCTCACACTTGTAATCCCAGTAGTTTGGGAGGCTGAGCAGGGCTTGAGACCAGCCTGGGCAACATGGTAAAACCCCATCTCTACCAAAAAATATATATATACAAATATTAGGCTGGTGTGGTGGTGCACACCTGTAGTCCCAGCTACTTGGGAGTTTGAGGTTTGAGCTTGAGGTTGTAGTGAGCTGTATCATACCACTACACTTTAGCCTGGGTGACAAAGTGAGACACTGACTCTTAAGAAAAACAAAAAAGAAGTAGTAGTTTGCAGTTGTATGATTCCCTGCTTTTTAACTGCAGGGTTTTGGTGCTACTGCCTAATGAGGATATGGCAGTTTTGCTCATTTAAAAAGGATACTGTATGCTTTATGAAAATACAACCACTAAATTAGTGTATTATTCAGTGGCATACTGTGTAATACATAGGACTATATTTAGTTATTTGGTTTATTTTAGTAGATAAAATAAATTTGCTTTTAAAAAAAAAAAATCGACTTTGTTATAATACTTTTTGTAAAATAAATTGCACCTATTTTATGTAAAATAAACCCCACCCATGCATGGGGTGTTTTGTCACCATTTCTTGTTGTTGTTTTTTATAGCTTTTGGGGGTACAGGTGCAGTTTTGTTACCTGGCTGTATTGCATAGTGGTGAAGTCTGGGCTTTTAGTGCACCCACCAACCAGCCATGGTTTTTAAAAGGAGCATTTTTCTCAGATTTTTAAAGAGTAATTCATGTTTAAGAAGGATAATATAGTATAGAATATTGAAAAAAAATTATTTCTTAACATGTAGAATTTTTCTGTTGAAAAGCTCTTTTTAAACTAAAATATTCCAGTATCCTGGCCCATTACTTTGATCTCCAGAGTGTGATGTGTATGCCCATGGTATGCTGGACTCAGCCTGTACCGGCTTGTTGAGAGCTGATTGTTAAACTTTCAGAAGCTTTGCAAGCCAATTAACATGATGTTAGTAGCTCAAAATCTGCATTGGTGGGAAGATTTACATCACAGAAATTGGCTTACAAATCAGGGCCTTTTTATTTTTTGTCAGAAAGCTGGCTTACTGGCACACCAGTATGTGCATTCAAGTAGATTAGCACAAATGTCCTTGGGAGTGTAAGAAGAAAATGCCAGAACCTCTAGTTATGTTTATTTTTTGTATTTGTTTTGTTGTGTATATTTTATAATGTACGTAATATTTATACAGTGGCACATGTACGTAATGTGTGTGTGTGTATATATATACATGTCACAATATGTGTCATGTGAGAGTATATATATATAATATATATACACATATATATTTGGCAACTTGATTTTTAATGGATTCCCATAGGAATCATGTTTATTGTATTCTATTTTTTTTTGGAGAGAGGATCTCACAGTTGTTGCCCAGACTGGCCTTGAACTGCTGGGCTCAAAGGATCCTCCCGCTTCAGCTAGGACTACAAGTGCATGACAGTGTGTTTGGCTCTAAACCAGTGGTCCCCAACTTTTTTGGCACCAGGGACCAGTTTCATGGAAGACAGTTTTTCTACCTCAGCATTAGATTCTCATAAGGAGTGTGAATCCTCGATCCCTCACATGCGCAGTTCACAATAGAGTTCCCACTGCTATGAGAATCTAATGCCACTGCTGATCTGATGGGAGGCGGAGCTCAGGTGGTAATGCTAGCAATGGGGAGCCGCTGTAAATACAGATGAAGCTTCACTGTGTGGCCCATTTCCTAACAGGCCATGGACTGTACCAGTCTGTGGCCCGGGGGTTAGGAACCCCCTGCTGTAAGCAACTTTTATTGATAGAGATTTTCAATTTAAAAAATGTGAAGACCATTGGCTTATGTTATGCCTCCTGAGAATGAGAGACTATGATGTGCCACTCAAAGCATTTCCTAAAAATTCTAAAACTACAGAGGTCTCTTAGGGCAAATTTATATGAGATTAGCCCAGTGCAGTGACATGTAGCCCCAGCTACTGGGGAGGCTTGAAGCAGGAGAATCTCTTGAGCCGAGGCGTTCCAAGCTGGAGTACACCACAATTGCACCTGTGAATAGCCACTGTCCTTCAGCCCAGATAACACAGAGATCCCATCTCTATAAATAAATAAATAATTCAGATTATTTCTCTCTTTAAACTTAAAAAATTATTAATTTTTTTTTAAAAAAAGAAAACGTCTTGCTCTGTCACCCAGCGTCAGATGCAGTGGCACAATCATAGCTCACTGCAGCTTCGAACTTGTGGACTCAAGTGATCTTCCTGCCTCAGCCCCTTCCCAAGTAGCTGGGACTACAGGCACATGCCACTATACCTGGCTAATTTTTAAATATTTTTTGCAGAGACAGGATCTCACTGTGTTGCCCAGGCTGTTTCAAATTCCTGGGGTCAAGTGAGCCTCCCACATTGACCTCCCAAAGTGCTGGGATTACAAGAATGAGCCACCCATGCCTAGCCATTTTTTTTTAAATTCCTAAAGAAGATATTTCTAAGAAACTAATTATATTCTTCAAAGTCTCTGATTAACCGTAAACTAAACTGAGGATAAAATTAACATAATTCGTATAATGATTCTATCTATTTGAGGCGAATAATTGGTTACAGTTGATTTACGGATTTATTTAGGCTCAAATTGTAGGTAGCTCTTAGTTTTCTGGCCTTGTGGAGAATAGTCTTAAACCTACATCTTAAAACAAAATTAATTTTCTTCCTTTCAGTAGAAAGCAGTTAGAGTATTACAGAGAAACACTCTAAAAATTGTTCATCTTGAATCTAAACACTCATTTTCTTTTTATTCTATTTTTATTTATTTTTATACAGATATTTTTTCAGACATAGTTTTCCTCCGTCGCCCAGGTTCAAGCAGCTCTCCCACTTCAGCGTCCTAAGTAGCTGGGATTACAGGTGCACACCACCACATCTGGCTAATTTTTGTATTTTTTAGTAGAGATGGGGTGTTGCCATGTTGGCCAGACTGATGTCAAACTCCTGACCTCAAGTGATCTGCCCACCTTGACCTCCTAAAGTGCTGGGATTAGAGGCGTGAGCCACCATGCCCAGCCTCATTTTCTTTTTAAATAGACATCTACTTAATGTAGTTTGAAAAATCAGATTTATGATGATGATGACATACTTCGTTCTGAATCTAGAAAAATGAATTTAAATAAAAGTATTTCACAGTAGAGCTACGAATATGAAACTTTTGAACAATTAGAGTACTTTGTAACAATATTAAAGTATAGTACAAGGAATATCACATTGTACCAGATTAGCTAGGCTACAGACCAGGTAAATTAAACTACTCTATTTTTTTATTCTTTTAATCAGAATCTACCATGATAACATAGGACTAGAAACGTCAATGAGGAGATGTTGAAAAGTTGATCTTCAAAACTTATATTATCTATATTAGTACTTCTCAAACTTTAATGTAGATAAAAATCACTTGGCAGTTTTGTTAAAATGTAAATTCCAGTTCAGTACGTCTGGGACGGGGCTTGGAATTCTGCATTTCTTACAGGTGGTTGAATAGTGCTACTACTGCTGGTCCAAGGACCACACTTAGAAGAGCAAGAATCTCAATTTTTCACAAACAAATTAATCAGAAGGACATTGTCAGGCTTATAAACTCAGCCATCTTCTGAATTGTTCTTAACTGTGATTCTTTTACTAGTAGTTTCAATTTAGGTAACTCCATAGAATATTGTGGAAAATTCTAGTACATTTCTGTCAGACTAATATGAATTATTTATCAATAGGTAATGGAGACCAAAAGTATGTTGTACCTTGTGACAGAATATGCCAAAAATGGAGAAATTTTTGGTAAGCTTTTTCCTTTAAATTTTCTGTTAATTTGAAAAATTCACTAATCTGCATGAATGGGGTATTTTCTATTAAGTTTCTGCTTATTTAAGTGTTGGTAATATAAGTGAAAAAAATTTAAGTGTTAGAAAATATTCAGTAACCTAAAATATGAAATATAACTTATTTCCTTGTATTTATTATATTAAAGGTACTACGTCTGTCATCTCTGTTAGAGATAGGGAGGAACTTTTAGTCATACTGCAAAGGATATTTTCTTTCTTTTTATCTTCTTTTTTACCTTTCTTTTGTATGGAAAGATTAGTCAGCAAATATTTATTAAGCTTCTACTATGTCCCAGGCATTGTGCTAGGTTTTGGGGATACTGTAGTGACCTAAATAGCACAATCTCTGTTATTGTGGATCTTACAGTTTAGTGACGTATTCACTATAGGTTTAAGACCTCAGGCAAGTCACTAAACCTCTCTAGGACTTGATTCCTTTATCTCTAATAAGAAAGTATTTGATTGGTGTTTATGATTCATTCTAACTTTAAAAAAATTTAAATATTCTATTCTAGCTTTCACCTAAAATATCTATTTATTTTTACTGTGTGGAACCAGAGCACTGTAGCTATCTAAATCTTTTTTTGTTCTTAACTTAAATTTTAGTCCATAATTGTTTTTTAAACAACTTTATTGGAGAATAATTCATATGTGATAAATTACATGTATTTAATGCGTACAGTTTCATAAGTTTTGATACACATTTGTGAAGCAGTCACCACAGTCAAAATATCCATCACTTCCAGAAGTTTCTTTGTGCCCCCTTTGTAACTCTTTTGCCCCATCTGACACCCAAAAAACCACTGACATGTTTTTTGTCATTATGGATCAGTTTGTATCTTTTGGAGTTTTATATAAATGGAATTATACAGGATAAACTCAAATGTAACCATACAGGATATATTCTTTTTTCTGTCTAACTTCTTTCCTTTAGTATAATTATTTTGGGATTCATTCCATTTAATTGTGTATATCAACATGTAATTTCTTTTTATTGCAAGTAGTATTATATTGTATGAATATACCCCAGTGCTTATTCATTCATCTATCTATTGATAGACATTTGGGTTGGTTTCAGTTTTTGGCTGTTACACATAAGTTACTATAAACATTCATATACAAGTCTACACAGTCTACCTTCAGATAATACTTACCACTTCACATATAATATAAGAATCTTGGCTGGGTGTGGTGGTTCACGCCTGTAATCCCAGCACTTTTAGGAGGCCAAGGTGGGCGGATCACCTGAAGTCAGGAGTTCAAGACCAGCCTGGCCAACATGGTGGAACCCATCTCTACTAAAAATACAAAAATTAGCCAGGCGTGCTGATGCATCCCTGTAATCCCAGCTACTAGGGAGGCTGAGGCAGGAGAATCACTTGAACTTGGAGGCGGAGGCTGCAGTGAGCCAAGATCACGCCACTGCACTTCAGCCGGGGTGACAGAGTGAGAATTCATCTCAAAAAGCGGGCACCTGTAGTCCCAGCTACTCGGGAGGCTGAGGCAGGAGAATGGTGTTAACCTGGGAGGTGGAACTTGCAGTGAGTCAAAATTGTGCCACTGTACTCCAGCCTGCGGGACAGAGCGAGACTCCGTCTCAAAAAATGAACCTTATATCAGTGTACTTATCTTTTGCCCCACCTGGCCTTTATGTTCTTGTTATCATATTTTACTAATACCTATTTTATAAAACACAATACAGTGCTATTTTTGTTTAAGCAATTATCTTTTAAAGAGATTTCCACATTTTTTGAAAGTTATCTCTTTATCAGTGTAGCTACCTTTTTCTTTAAACAATTATCTTTTAAAGAGATTTCCATATTTTTTGAAAATCACATCTATTTTTCAGTGTAGCTACCATTTCTGCATTCCTATGTATGTATATATTTTTATCTAATGTCATTTTTCTTTTGTCTGAAGGATTTTCTTTAGTGTTTCTTGTAGCACAGATCTGCTGGGGATGAAATATTTCAGCTTTTATATGTCTAAAGTAGTCTTTATTTTTGTCTTTGTTTTTGAAAGATATTTATACTAGGTATAGAATTCTAAACGGACTTTTTTCTTTCAGTACTTTAAAGATGTTGCTTTACTGTCTTCCCATTTGCACTGTTTCTGACAAAAAGCTACTGTCATCTTTTTCTGTATTCCTGTGTATATAATGTGCCTTTTTTCTCTGGCTGCTTTTAAGGCTTTCTGTTTATCACTGGTTTCAACAATTTGATTATGATGTGCCTTTGTGTGGTTTTCTTTATGATTCTTATGTTTGGTTTCATTGAGCTTTTTGGATCTATGACTATACTGTTTTCATCAAATTTGGCTATTTTTCAGCCATCATTTTCTAACTAATTTTTCTCTTCCACCCCTCTCTTCTCCTTCAGATATTCCAGTCAAGTGTATATTAAACTGTTTGAAATTGCCCCACAGCTCACTGATGTTCTTTTTCATTGTTAAAAAAATCATTTTTCTCTATTTCATGTTGAGTAGTTGCTATTTCTGTCTTTAAATTCATGAATCTTTTCTTCTGCCATTAATCCCAGCCAGTGAATTTGTCATCTCAGACATTGTAATATTCTTTTCTATAAACTTGACTAGGACTTTTTTTTTTTCCCTTCCATGTCTTTCCTTAGCTTTCTGAACATCTAAAATCCAGTTATGGTAATTTTTAATGTCCATGTATGCTGATTTCCAGCATCTCTATCAGTTCTGGGTTGGTTTTGATTGGTTGATGTTTCTCCTCAGTTTTGGTTACCTTTTCCTATTTCATTACATATCTGATAGTCTTTCCTTGGATGCTAGACATTGCCCATTTTACCTTGAGCACCACATATTCTTGTGTTACTTTAGGTTTTCTTGCACTTTGTTCTAGGATGCAGTTAAGTTACTTAGAAACAGTTTGATCCGTTTGGGTCTTGCCTTCACGATTGAAACAGTGCTCAGTCTGGGTCTAGTTACTTCCCACTTCTCAGTATTCTACTCAATGCCGCATGAATTCTGAGGTTTTATGGCCTGACCAGTAGGAACAGGCACCATTCCTGGCTTTGTGTAAGCACCAGGCAGTGTGCTCTCTCAGCCTCTCAGATGGTTCTTTCTCTGGCCTCTGGTGGTTTTCCCTCACATGTGAGCTGATCAGCACTTTCCTGAGTGCTCAAGGGACAGATCCCTCTGCAGACCTTTGGAGTTCTCTCTGTGTGTAGCTCACTCTTCTTTGGGACTCTTGGCATTGTCTACCCAACTCAAAGACATTGCTGGACCACACCTGGGTTTCCCCTCATTGTGCTGTGGCATAGAGATTCTCTCAAGGCATTAGTTGGAACATTCACAGATCTCGCCTCATTTGTCACCTGTCGCTCAGGGATCACTTTCCTTTTGCCTGACGTCCAGTGTCTTATAAACCATTCTCTCATGTATTTCGTGTTTTTGTTGTTGGGGATGGGAAGGTTGTTTCAGGCAGGAGGATAAATCCATCTTAGCCAAAAGCAGAATTATTTAGTCCTTTCAAATTTGTTGTTAATCTAAGGTATTTTAAAGGGAAAGAACCATATGCACTTCTATAGTTTTGAAAAATACACTGTTTGCAGTTGGATTATAAATAAATAGTTCTGACTAAACTCGTTGTATTTCAGAAATGATGTCTGCTTCCTTCTTTTGCTTATTTTTTTTCTTTTTTATGCTACTACTCAATTAGCTTATTTTAATTCTTAAAATATTTGTTTCAGCTAGCAGCATCTTGACTGATGCTATAATGGACTGTTACAGGCTTTGAAGTCAAGCAAATCTGATTTACAATGCCGGCTATACCATATTAATTGCTAACATTACTTTGGGCAGGATTCTTTCCTTTTCTTCCCTTTTTCCCTTTTATTCATTTTGTTATTTTTCTTGGCTTTCTTTCCTATTTCTTACATTCATTTATTCATTCATTTATTCAGTCTTTCAAGAAATCTTTATTGAAAACCAACTACTTGTCACACACTGTAATATGGTAAGAAAACTGCAATGAAGAAAATAGACAAAAATCTCTACTCTTTTACGTTCCAGTTTGGGAGACAGAAACAAAATAGCTGAATTATGTAGCAGATTAGATAGTGATGAGTGCTATGTAAATAATAAAGCAAGGCTGGTGGGTTGGGAGGCATGGGAGTTGATTGCAACATTAAATAGAGTGGTCAGGGAAGGCCTCACTGGCATTTGAGCACAGACTTGAAAGCACAGTCTTGTCAATATGGTAGAACAGGGATTACCCAGGGAGAGGGAAGAATAAATGCAAATCCCTGAGGCAGCAGTGTGCTTGGTGTGTCCAAGGGATAACAGGGAGGCCAGTATGACTCAAGAGGAGCAAGCAAGAGAGAAGAGCAAGGAGGAAGAACAGTAAAGAGGATGTCAAAGGGTAAATGGGAGGCAGGAGTGGGGCAGATTTTGGGGCTTTGTGTAGGCCTTTAGAAGGATTTTGGCTCTTACCTTCAATAAAATTAGGGAACCATTTTCGGCCAGGTTTCAGCAGAGAAGTGACTGCATCTAATGTAACATTTTAAGAGCATCGCTCTGGCTGCTGTGTTGAGAATGGAAAAGGGTGGAGACAGGGAGACCAGGTAGGAAGCTGTTGGAGCAGTTCCAGTGAGGGATGATGGCAGCCCAGACCAGGGGAACAGCAGTACAGGTAGTCCTAAGTGGTCAAACTCAGAATATATTTTGAAGTACAATCAGTAGAACTTCTCGACAGATGGAGACTACCTAAGTAGTAGGTATAATTGTGGAAGAGGCCAAGGTCTGATCCCTGAGCATTTAAACAATAAAAGATTTGGAAAAGAGGAGAAATTGGAGAAGAGACAGAGGAGGAAGAAAACCAAGAGAATGTGATGTCCTAGAAACCAAGTGAACAAAGCATTCTCAGAAGGATCAAGTGAATATCTGTGACAAATGATGCCGATAGATCGAGAATGATGAGGAATGACAGTT